GTGTGGGAGGTGGGCATGCACAATGTGGCCTAGCATGCAATATAGAAGGTGTGTGGGGCCAGGAGGCCTGCCCCCCACAGCCACTCAGAAGTTGGACAGCTCTGCTTTAAATGCATGAGGGACAAAATGAAAAACTAGTAATACAAGAGTCCAATTATACATAAAAGTAGAAAAAAATGTTAATCATGCTGCAAAAAAGGCAAAAATGTTCAATAACTTCCTGGTCTCTATTTGGCAAGAAGCAGGATGCTGCATTCATATCCTTAAGTGATGAGGAAATACTTTCTATTCCATTAGTAACTTGGGAGCTATTGCATTAGCAACTATTAAAATGTAAACATTTTAAATATGCGGGACCAGAAAACTTCCATATAATACTATTAAAAGGATTGGCAAAGGAACTCGGAACTATTCAAGATGATTTTTTAAAACAGATCTTGGAACACTAGGGAAAGTCCACAAGACAGGGAAAAAACACAAACGCTGTACCCATACTGGGGGGCGGAGAGTCAATTAAAGCTGACATGAAATTGGTAAGAACTGGTCAAGTGTCAGTTTCCAAACTGTAACTGTGATACAGGTGTTACCAGTAGGGTCCTGTGGGGATCTGTTCTTGACCCAGTGCTCTGCAACATTTTTGTTAGTGACACTGAGGAAATGATATATGTATTACTGGTAACATTTGCAAGTGAAACAAGAATTTGTGGTCAGACAAATGACAGGGCAAGTCAATTGCTCAGGCTGACCTTGGTCACTTGATGGGTCAGGCTCATTTGAGCAACAATACTATCAAATGCAAGATTATATATCCAGGAGTGGAGAATATAGGTCTCGTTTGCAGGACTAGAGATAGTATCCCGAAATGCAGTGGCGCTCTTCTAAGTAACTTAGGGGCTATGGTAAATAACCAAAACTCTCAGTGTGATATAGTAGCTAAGAAAGCTAACATGATCCTTGGACAAGAACGCAGATAAATATCAAGTATGAGTACAAAAATGTCACTATCCCTGTATATAGTATTAGTGAAATCACTGTGGAACAGCAGATCCAGTTCTGGCATTCACACTTCAAAAGGGATAGTGAAAAATTGGAAAAAGTTTTTAAAAAGACAAGAACGATTAGAGGTATGGAAACCCTGCTTTGGTTATTTAGCTTGTCTAAAAGAAAGTTAAAAGGTGACTCAATCATGGTTTAAACATATGTGAATAGGGAATACATTTGCATTAGTAAACAACTTGAATCTAGGGAAAAAGGTGTAGTAAGACTGATGGGAAATGAAAGCTTGACAAATTCAAATTAGAAACAGGCTCAATTTTTAATATCAAAGTTAAAGACTTGTTGCAGCAATTTTTCCAGAAGCGTGATGGATTTCCCTTCACTTTAAATCTTTAAATCAAGACTAGATCTCTTCCTAAAATAATGTTGCAATTCATCTGGAGATCACAGGCTCAATGTAGAAATTAGTTTGTAATGCATTATGGTCTCTGTTATACAAGAGGCTCTACAATAATCCATGAACTAATTTCAGCTGAGACCAGGGTCAGCAACCTCTGGCCTACAGGCCAGATCCAACCATTAGATCAGGCCCATGGATGTAGGGGCTTGGCAGCATTCAGCAGCAGGGGGTTTCAGCTGCAGATGTTCTCCCTGTGTTGCTGCGGGAACAAGCGCCGGGTCCTAACACCCATCCACTCACCTCTAACTTGGGGTGGGTCATTCTGATGTGCAGCTAGGAAAGGTTGCCTACCCCAGGTTGGTCCAGTTTTACTTTGCTTGTTAATTTCTATTCTCTCCCCCAATCCTGAGATAATGAGTGGGTAGTACCCACTGTTTCTAAAACAACCTGCAACTCTCTCTCCAGGTAGCGGTCTCTGAGTTTTAACAAGTTAATTGTCATTAACTAATCTGACTGAAATAACACAGGGTAAAATCCCAGGGAAGACTAGACAAATTGTAGTTTCCCCCACACATTAGCAAGGTCAAGGTAAACCCGAAATTACTACATCCTTAACTCTACCTCCTCACTAGTTTGTGAAAAACTACAAGTTTCATTGTCTTCACTAGGATTCCACCTTATGTTAGCCAACTAAAGCCAACAACGCTCCCTTCTCATTTAAATATGATGCACTCTGTTAGAAAACCAGTTAGAAGTCAAGGCAACACTGACCTGTACTCCACCAATCTGGAGGAATTGTTGAAAAGTTAAACAGAACAATAAGGGGGGGAACTGATCAAGGTGGGGTGGAAATCAAAACAACGTTCAGTTGTTTGATTGTTTGATTAGCCAATATATTTCATTTTCTCCCCTACATACACTGAACAGGCAGGATGGCCTGCAGGGTTCTAAGCAAGCATCAGTGGCCATCCTGTTAACGAAATGCTAATGAAGGAATTGAAGACAGCACTGTATTACTGCCAGGTATCTCTTATAGAAGGCTCTAAATCCTTTTGGGATCAGGGCAATACTTATTTAGGTAAGTGGCATCACTGACAATAAATTAGATTCCACCATAGCTTGGGATCAGATCTAAGATAGAGCACTTGTAGTAGCAGAAGCTACGCCATGCTGACTAAGAGGAGGAGGAAACTAGAAAAATGGATAACGTCATAGGAAACAGAAGGTAACACACCCACTCTTAGAGACTCTAACCTTTGAAACTTGTCAGCAATGACTCTGGCAACCTGGTGTTTCAGCACGGTCTGATGGCTTGGCAGGGGGAGAGTCCCAAACTAAAGAAGCTACTATCTTAAGCAATACAGTTCTATAGAGGGAGGCCAGCAGGACAGATGGTCAGTAACAAATCAGTTAAAACTGTGACAGACATTTCTACAGGATTTGGTTAAAGGTGAGAAAATAAATTTAGGGCTCAAGAATTCACTCTCAGAGGGCTAGTTACATTTACTCCAGCCATCATATAGCACTTTATCTGATACTGAATCATTCTTGAGAGACTGCTGGTTTTCTTCTGAAATAATTCTGTGCAAAATATACTCTGCATGTTCATAACTCTGTGCTCATTTAACAAAAACAAAAGAAACCCCAAGAACAGATGGCTCAGGTCATTGATTTGATAGCAAAAAGAATTTCAACCATGCTACAGAAAAGAGGTTATATTTAATATAATTCAAACAGATGGAACATGTGAAAAGTCCACCATTTTTCTTTTAATTTATTCTATTCATAACTCAAAGGAGTAAGAGGCCTGACAGTATCATTCTCATGCTGGTAGAACTCCCCCTGAAACAAACACTTTTCATCAGTAGGGACTGAAGGACAAAGTTAAGTGTTAGAAAAGGGGTGGGCAAAATGCGGCCTGGGGGCCGGATGCAGTCCACCAGGCCATTCTATCTGGCCCACAGGGTCCCTAAAAAATTTAGAAAATATTAATCTGCCCTGGGCTGCCTGTCACGTGGCCCTCGATGGCTTGCCAAAACTCAGTAAGCGGCCCTCTGTCCAAAATAATTGCCCGCCCCTGTGTTAGAACATAGAGCAGTTCTAATTTATTCAGACAGGAAATGTTTTATTTGTGTAACTCTTCCTAGCAGCCCTATGTCACTGATGAAAAAGGTTGCTGGAATCCATCCTGGAAGCTGTTGAGGGCCTTTCTAACCTCATCAACTTCAATGCAAGTTGAGGGAACTCATCATTTTGCAGCAAGAATCCAGACTCATGGAGTATTGTGAAAAGCTCTCCTTTGGGGCTGTCATAACCCCTTCGTCCAAGCTAATTAGTTGGCTATTATTAAACCCTGCAACTCCAAAAGGATAAGTGTGCATGTAAGTGAGCAAAGATATATAGCACAAGCGTAAGTAATGACATTCAGTTGTAAAACAGGTTTCCGGGTGGAGGGTGTTTTATGTTGGGAAGCTTTTTTAATCGTGTTCCCTTCAATGTAAAAGTGCTTGTGACTGGAAACTTCCCAACAGTACTCAATGGTCTCTCAGGGATCACCCTAAGAAAGTGAGTGCACGTCACATATTAACTCATCCCTGACCAACTTTTAAACATGCAAAACCCAGTAGATCCCAGCAACACCACTGTGCTAAGGAAATACAGCAGATGCAAATGCACAAATTCATGCAAAAGTGGATTACTTATTTAAGCCTGTGTTCATGATATGAATACAAATATGCACACATGCATGGAGTTCCAACAAACTGAGAACCTGTTTTCTTCCTTGAATACAGACATACTGGATTTATTTTAGCTGTTTGGTATTATGAGGACTTGAAAACTACGTCAAAAGGTCATTGTTATAAATAAGATCTATGGCACAGTAAAATTAAGTTGCCAAGTGTCAGGCAGCTCTTGTGACATATTTGGTAGCCCTGTCATGCAAGACCTACAGCTGAATTGCAAGAGATTGTGAAAGGGATTGACTACAGTTCTTTCTAGCCACTAGGAGCTACTGGTGTTTCAGATATCCAGTCCCATTATGATACACCTCCCTTCTGCTCCCCCTACTGACATGAGAGTTGCATGGAGAAGCATTAAGGATGGGTGATGGGAGAGATGCAAGTGAATGAAGGCTGGGGGCAAAGAAAGAAGGGCTGAAGTCAGAAAGAGGTAGAAATGAAAAAGCCTAAGGAAGAGAGGAGGCAAAGTACAGAGACTACTTTAAGCTCCTCATGCCTTCAATAACTCCCTCCCCAGCTATCTCAGATTTTCCCTAACCACCCTACCCTGGCTTCCCATCCTTACCACAGGCTCTCACTAATTTCCACCTTCCAAAAAATCCCTCCCCCTGATTTTTCTATGGCAGTAACCCCCACCAAGACCTCTGTCACACCTTTCTTTTTCCCTTAAAACTAGACATGAGTGTGGTGTACAAGACATTCAGATCTAAACAATGCATATGTGAGATGCAAGGTGAAATCTTTTGATTCTCAGTCCTACCAAACATGCTGTGTATGTTGTGCCCCATAATTGTAGCAATGCCTAAAATGAAATGAACTTAACACAAATATATAGTTTTCAAATGAGATTCAACTCAAACATGCACAGGGAGAGTAAAGTTATTTTATTAAATCATGCACATCACATGTGTTAGTGCAAATAGTTTAATCTGTACTCCAGAAATTCTAATGTACTTTTTATATCTTTACAAAATAGATTTAAAACAATTATTTACTTTAAAAAATGTAATTCTGAAGTTAAGCATTTCAGAACAATATTTGCAATAACCTATATACAAGAGGTACTGAGTACCACTGGCAAACAAGTGTTTTGTGGTTGGGTGGCTTCCTGCAACTGAAAATGATAAAAGAAACAAACTAGATGATAATAACACTTTCTAAGAGTCACTTGTGGACTATTTTTTCCAAAAATCTAATGATCCTCCTGTTAGCAAATCCCAAGTAGCTTAAGATAGAACCTTTAATTAAAAGGACAGACAATGACCCTCAAAACCTCACAAGGCAAATTATATACTAAATTTCTATTTAAATATTTAACTAGATCTGTTGATTGCCATTAATATTTTAAAGCCAAATAAATCTTTGAGATAATCTTCCTATTTTGAAGTTTCCCTTAACCAAACCATTTTCCTTTGCAATCCATTTTAGCATACTGTACAAGTCCTTAATAAACATTTTTGTTAGAACTGTTGAGTTGCGCAAGACAACTTGTAGCCAACATTTAAATTCAATGCTCAGTTACAGTGGTTCTCATTAAAAGTCAATAATTAACAACAGTTAACGCTCTTAGACTAGGAAAATACACTTTTTAATGGGGACCACTGTACTGTATTTTAACGCCATGTTGATGCAAAGCTTCTAATTACCAAAATTAAACCATCTCATCAACTGATGCACACTTGATCAGTTAACTGATCCCAGCTTTGCAATTACTTTGTCCACCATGGAATCTTTTTTCTCAGTTAATCATATATGCACTCTTGCAGTTTTCTTAATGAAGTTATGTCAATAAAAGCTTATCTGAAGAGACAAATATTACTTCTCCAGCTCAATTTTGAAAGTATTAAATGATTGAAAAAAATAAATGGATAAAATGTGATATGTGAGAAAGTATTCATACTTTTAAAGACTGTCTCTTTAAATATATGAAATTTAATAAATTACATTCAAACTAAAGTTAACATAAGTTGAATCACTGCACTATGTCCATCAAATGACCAAGTATTTGCTCCCAGAAATACCTTTTAGTTCACTCAAGAACACACACATGCTTGCACTCACGCACACACAAAATATTCTAGGCTGGTGTTTGCCATCAATGTCTTCTCTATCTTATCTCTTTAAGGCTGGACATGAACTGTATTTATTCCCCAAAATCATTAATAAACCAAAATCCTCACCAAAGAAAACTATTTGCTTCCTTCAAAAGGCCTGGAAAGAGACATTATCTTGTTCCCAATAGCTCAGTGACTGACAGCAAGTCAAATGGTATATATTAATGTGAAAAAAACCCCAAACTGAAAGGCACTGAGCACACCACATGTGTTCCAAGTAGCTACACGGTTATTTGGCATGGGTATCCAAATCAGAAAAGCATGTTTATCCTTTAAACCTGGCAATCAGATTCTAAAGCAAAATATCCACAAACCTAACCATTATAAATAATTTGGTACCAAGAAGCCTATTTTAGGCCACCATTATAGTATTCAGAATCCCAACATACCAATTTAAAAATTACATGAAATTGTAAGCAAAAGTATTGCTCACAGTAGAATGAAGTCACAATTTTATTCCCTCTTTAGAGACAGATACATTTTATACAGTTTAAAGCAAATGACTCTACTGCTGTTCTCACGCAGAGCTGCATTGTATTAAGAGGTAAAAAGGAAGAGAATTAATCTGTTTTCCCCCAGTATGAGAGTGATGCCAGCTTCTAAAAGGGAGGACGGTGTATGGATTCAACAACAGTTCTCATGGAGAAGCTCTGGTTAGGCCTGGGTACAGCACCACGGCTGTTACAGCAACCAAAGCTGCCATCACAGGCATCCAAGGCCACTGTCTCTGTGTGGAGAGAAAGAAAAAATCAATGTCATATTTGTTCTAGTTCACACTAGTCAGTTAACCCCTTGGTTCCTTAAGTCCTGAGCACCTGTTGGTAAGTATCACTAATATACTTCCCATGAGCCCTTAACTGCTGGGAAATCTTGACTCTTGGCACCAAGGGGTTAACTCTGTTTTCTAGCACAAGGTATTCCAATAGACAAGTCTTCATGATGGCACATCAGCCGGAGATTCTTTGTTAGTGCTGTATTTCCAAGTGCATTACAACACACCCCGAAGAGAACATCTCCTCTTAAACAATGGAGGGCTGAAGATGCTCACAATATAGCTTGTGCCAAAGAACTGCTAGACAAAATGACAACATTTTAAACTTCTTTGTTTTTGCGTTTTTAAGCCGGATCTGTGACATAAGTTCTTAGTGGAACCTATCAAGATAATTTTCAATGGGTTTGAAGGATATCTTAGGTTGAGGACAATATTTTACAGAAGACACTAAGAGACACTGGGGATGTAGTGCAAGGTGAGAATTAAGAATACAAACCCACCACCTATTTGTCATTCCCATCTTGTCCTTTTTCCATCTTCTTCACAGCAATAGTGAGAAAGTGAAGAAGTGTTTAAAGTCGGAAAAGAATTTCTAAATCCAAGAAGTAAGAAAAAAGGGACCAAATTTCTATTTAAAGAGGCAAACTCTTCATTTTTCACATGCGATTCAGCAATCAGTTTTTTTTTTTTTTTTCCAGGTCCTGACATTGCAACATTTTATAAGAATTTACCCCATTTTGCTAAAGACAAACAAGACCAAGTGAAAAGAGGTACATTCAAAACTGGTTAGGGTTGAAATTAATTCATTGTTAGAATTATCACCAAGAAACCATACAAACATTAAATGATTAGTAGCTGCTCAGCTTGTCAGTACCGTAAGTATGGTACAGTAAATGAAGGGTTTGCTTCAGGTAAATCCTGTGAGCACTTCACCATGCATATTTTACAGAAATGGCACAAACAGGTGAGAGGGACAAACATACATTAACTGAACAGTAGTGCTTGTACCTTTCTCTACCACAATGGGCCGTAACACCAATACAGGAAAGCCAGGATTAGGCCGATGAATACGGCTGGGACGGGTTGTAATATGGAAGGCTAAAGAAGGGAAGGGATATTAAAAATCATTTTGTGCTATAAAATCAATCAGGTAAAGATGATTTAGATAGGGGGCAATAAGTCACAGAGTGAGATTTTTTTTTAATTGAAATGAATTAAAGACATCTACCACGATACAGCATGATCTAATTTGGTATACAAAGTTAGTACACCACTCTACTCAAACGAACATGGATATTTAAAAATACAGTGAAGTAAGCAGAAAAATGTTCTAAAGAAGCCTTTGTTGCCACTTGGAATTTAGAATTTCAGGTCAAAATTGAGGCTTATATTTATACTGATTGCAGGTCTTCATCACATTAGTGTTTTGGGGGGTTTTCCCCCTTATTTCAATGGTGCAAGATGCAGCATGAGTTTTCCTTTATATTGCGTCACCTCATCCAGGCATCCCTACACACCGGAATCAGCATATTTGGAAGGTCCAAGCAGCATAACAGGTTTTTCACCTTTTCTTCTTTTCCTTACAATTTCAAGAGCCATAATTACTTTTCCTTCTCCAGTGAATCAGTTATGAATCACCCCAGCAAGCCATGTAGTCAAGACATGACATTGCAATATTGCTCAACATTAGCAATGAGGTCCTTCAAGTGATGGAGCACAGGCCAGCTGGAAATCCTGAAATGTGAATATGCCTACCTGTGAGAACCCCAAGCTGGATTTAAATCATGTTCTCCTGAGCTACAGCAATGCTTTTTAACCTCCAGATTTCAGGCCATCAAGATACCATAATTCATTTACTTTGTCACCTTGTTTCCACTGCACAAACTTGTTCAGTTAGGGAGCTTGTAGACATGTGGGGAGGCTGCTCCGATGTACTGTAATTATAATTACTCCACTAATCAAGTCTGCTGGAGTGTGCTAATTAGTGCACTACAGCAGCTTCCACATCTCATGCATCAGCGTCCCCATGCCTCAAAATGGTGGCGGGGCACTTTAATTAAAGCTCATTTGACACTGTGGGCACTTTAATTAGAGCATCTCGGAGCTGCTCTAATTAAAGCACCCCCCACCCCCATCCCTGGAGCATATGTAAAAACACCCTTAGTTTCAAGACTGCAACGCTTCAGGCTTGTACTGGATAAAAATTATCCATAGCATTATAAATTGAATAACTGTTTAAAAGAGATGACTGTCAAAGTCATGATAATTGTATAGTGATTTTTTTCCCTTAAACTAGCCTTGAAAGACACCCGTTTTCTCCGTGTCTCTGCTACACACAAACACACACCAACATCCCCCCCTCCACCTCCCCCCTGCCCCTTTCGGATCATGATAGATGTCTTTTTTTGGAGGATTTTGGTTGTTTTATTTTTTGTTTTTGGGGCTGAAGCCAATTTGATTTTTCATAGAGCTAAACATGAATTTATATTTAACTCATGTTTGAGGATTTTCTGGAATAAATTTTATGGGAAATTTTTTGAAAAATCAACAGTCATTTCATAGTAAAACACCAAATTTGGCCCAATAGACATAAAATGTAGGTGTTCTATCCTGGACAATACAAGCGTTGATCTCATGTTAGCTGACATTTGTTTTAACCAAGGCAAATATCCTTTATTCTAATTATATGAAACTATCATAAATTCATGTTCATGCAGCATCATTGTCTTGCAGTTGCTGTCACAAATCAAAGAAGCGTGTTGTTAGAAATAATCAATGCAGTATCCAAAAAAGTTGATATTAAGTGAATCAAAAGCAGCTAAATGTTCTAAAACCATTCACAAACAAATCCATCCAGTCAAATCTAATCAGTAACTACAAACATGCAAACACATGTAGCACACCATAGTGCTGTGCTTTCAGAACATGACGTAACTTTTTTACATTCATGCTTCACCTATCCAGGAGGAAAAAGGTGATGCGTAATTATAAAACACCAAACACAAAGGAACTTGTGGGCATCTAAAATTATTTCAACTGGAGTAAAAAAAATTTTCTCTGCTCTAGCATTTATAGTACACAGAAGGTTTTATGGCATTTATTTTATTCATTATATGTATGTATATATGCCTGTGGCATCTAGGTGCATGACAATTTATAACCAAATACCATATTTAATGCAATTGCCCAAAAAGATGATAAATTATACTCCCTTATCAAGCATCATCATATGATGAAAGTCTCCTTTCTTTTGATAAACAGGCAAATACTTGACTAAAAATATGCCCATAAACTCAGGTGTTGACATGCCTAAAAGGGAGTAAGTTATACAGTTGCAAACCTCCCTTTGGAATATCTTGGCCTTCATACCTCAAAAGTGAGGTAGAAAAGAGTGACTCAAGTGATCACCAGCACCTGAAAAAGCTTCCAGCCCCTGGGGCTGATGCCAGGTGCAGAAGGATGAGGTACCAAGTGAGATGTTTCTTGACAATCCACAAGTGTAACTAAATTTTAGGATTTTTTTTTAAAAAGTCACCTTGTGAGTGTGTCGAATAGAAGTTTCTTCAGTAAGGCCATAGCCCACGCAGTAGTGCTGCTTGTACTCTAACTAGTTCCTCCAGTCCTCCCTAAAAGTGGTTTTCAGCTAGTGTTATGGCTCCTTACTTGGTTGTATATAACTTCAGTCCCTCTTTTCCCCCATAAGAATCCCCCTATTTCTATAAATACACCCCCTTCTCTCCTTGAAAATCTTCCTCTTTCCCTGCATAGCTCTTCAACCCCATTGTTCCCCTTTCAATTATTCAGTTTGCCTTTGAAAGACCAGGCTCCTAACAAGGCAAAGGCAAGAAGCCTACTACTCACAATCCATCCACTCAAAACATTCTGAAATAGCAGGCGGTTTCTTTCTGTTTTTGTTCACACTCTAGCAGGAGTTTAGCAAAGGGTCCCAAGCAAGAAGCAGAAGGTAAGAGAAGACTATTACCAGGCACGCTTCCAACAGCAGGAAGCAGCAGCATAATGAAGTGGGGGCACTGATCCTTGGGTGGGCACAAAACTAGCAGCAGCAGTGCTGCAGGCCTGATGTAACCACTGGTGCTAGCAGCACAGCTCCTGATACTTTCTTGCATGCCACTGCCACTCAGGACACCCAAGTGCCCAGTTATGCCTCTGGCAGGAAAATTAAATGTGGCCTCCCATTCGCTTTCCTCCTTTGTCAACTATATCTTAAAAAACCCTAGAACAGTGGAGTTAAAGCCGCTCTGCCGCTCTTGGTTGCACATAGAGGACTTCAGCCATCATAGCACCATCACAGCTCTGGTTGTTGGGTTAAGCCTGCTGACAGTCTTTCAGATTAGTTACTCCAGAAGAGGCCATTCCAAATAGTGAGGTAGAAACTGTAGTGCATTTCAACTTTATGGTCTTTAATATGTGTAACAGAAGCCAAGCACCCCAGGGACCTGTGCCCTTAAGAGGCATGACCATGAGTTAGGGAGCATAATCTGCTTGAAAAATCACCTTCCAGATAGGACACCTTTGGGAAAGCTGGGTCTTCCTTTTATTTTTGAAAGTTGTTTTTGGGTCCAGATCTCTTGGCTTTCATATAAAAATTTTTCTGCATAATTTCATGAAGGGAAATGTTTTTCCAGCTTCTGGATCACTAGTAATTAGGCCAGATTTTTCCAAAAAGGCAGCAGTCAAAGGACAATTATAAGCCTTTGTATGCCACACACTTCATCTGTATGCACACTTACTGGAATGGCATACTAAATCTACACATTCGTACGTGCAAATGTCCAATTCAGAAACAAATGATCATTTGCATTTACAGTACCCGCACTGCCACATCAGGCATGCAATTTCCTCCTATAGTTCTGTGTACAACTCTTGAAAACTCAGCCTTTATTGTATAAAACAGAGATGTTCTCACTCAACTGTGAATTGCCACCACTGTGCCAAGACCAGAGGCCCATACACAGTTTGTACAGACTTACATTGTTTCTTTTTTCTTGTAGCAGCTTCAGGTTTTCTTTACACTGTTTGAGCTCATCTGTGATTGATTGCTTTTCCTGCTCAGTCATCTCAAGCTTCAACTTCAGCTCTGAGAGTACAGCCTGTGTCTTTTCATACTAAAGGCAAAGAAAAAACAATCTACAGACCCATTTTAAATTGGATGCGAGAAGATAAGCCCTGTTAAAGCAACTTTGGGTGCAATACTTTCGTTTTCAGCAGTACATTTGAAAATAATTTGGCTTGAATTAATATTTGTATTTAAAAAGACAGCAGACGAAAGGCCTGTTTAAGAGTAGTTAAGACTATTTCCCAAAGAGAAACAAGAGCAAAGCACTCTGTTCTCTTTTTTACTAGAACAGTCTGCTCTTAACTTGGATTTCATCCCCACAAGATGAAACGGTATGCTTGCTTCCTCCTTTTGATAATAAAGGGAACTTTGACACCCTGCTGGAGGTAAGACAAAAAAGCAGTCTTACATTCACATAATATTTTATCTTGTAAGATGACAAAGATTTTAACGAATGACACGTACTTCAAGCAAAAATTATTTCACCTATCCCTGGAATGTAGCCTCTTTCTTAGATCAAAGGGTGCTAAGAGTGGGCAGCACATTGCACTACACATCAGAAAAGTAAGTAAAAATTAAATTTTTTCAAAGGAAACTGCATGAGAAATGAGTAGAGTACAATTACACACAGTCAAGAAGTAGAAGCTAAATTACCCTAAATACCATTGCACACAACCTTCACTGACCACAACTTCAGAACTCTTAAATCTCATTCAAAAGACAGTAATATCCAACCATACTCTGCCCCTACGAATGTGATGGGCATTAGTTCAGAACTCACTCAAAAAGAAATATTTTTTTACTCCTTGTCTTAAAATCACTTTGTATAAGACTCTGGTGTTTTTGCCTTGTAAGTTTCCTGTCCTGGAACTGAACAAATCAGACCTGCTTTGTTTTAACAGTAAGAAGCAATACGTCCATCATCAACTTTTAATTTCCCGGGGTATTCTGGAGATAAACGGTTAGTAGATTCTTTTACCAAAGAAGTTAAAATAATACTTTGGATAAATGGTGTTATGTCCTTTTCAAGAAGAATGGTGAAAGTCAGTGCAGCATGTTGACTCCCAACTACATCATAACAGTACCCAAACGTATTCAATTTATGTAGTGTACCAAGCACAATGCATTATTACCATGTCCATCAATAATCGGGAAGGACAACAATGCATTAATGATATTAACCCAGAAGTGTTACAGTCTATTAAGTATCCCTTCTGTGGCAATGCACAGAACTCTACATTTGAAAAACTCTTTAATGGCAAAAATCTCCAAATCTATGAGAAATTTTGTGAATAGCTGATGCGTTGGTATTAGTAAATACAACACCACCAAGTAAGTACTCATTGAGCCACAAAGTGCCATACAGGCCAGCCATGGACTGGAGAGAGAGAAGCCTACTTCATTTCTGGTTAATTCTCACATCTGTAAAATAAGCAGGTATCTGCACCAGTCAAATGGGTGCAACAAACTGAAGGTCAAGTAAGAAGGTCAATCAAATCCTCCCACAACAAAGCTGGGCTTGAGATTAAAATCAAAAAGGTTACAAAAATAAACATGGGTTCTTGGCAGATTTTCAAATATTGTGCGCTGTTAACATCAGGCTGTTAACCTCCATGTGGCCCAAATATGGGCACAGGTTTTAGTCAATGTTTTACATTCCTGCATCAAGGGAAGCTTGTCCTTAGCATTTAAGGCAGGGGTAAGCAATGTTTTTGGGCAGAAAGCCAAAAACACCTGCAAGCTCAACTTGTAAGATGTTGGTGTGCCAGGAGCAGAGCATGGGAGCCATGACGGGCCCGATCTTTGTTATGACAGCAGTCCCAGCCCCTTCCCTACCGTCTGTCCAGAGGCACACGTGCCAAGCAAAATGCCTTTGCATGCCATGCTCTGGCACCCTTGATGAGGGCTGCCTACCCAATTTAAGATATACTTAGGTTCAGTTTTTTTGGTGATGCCTACCAGAGGACATTAGGTACGAGAGAAGCCTTGACCATTGACACAGGCCTATTACATGAGCTATAAAGATTAGTTCCTTCATGAACACACAATATCCACTGGTTTTAACATTTCATGTTAACAAGATTAACTTACATTATTTTTCTGAAACATGAAAATGGCATAAAACATCATGGTGGTGAATTCATGAGAAAGCAAGGAAAGGGATTGCTAGAAGCATATGGAAAATAGCAGTGATTGGACAAAAATTAATAGCAGTTGTGAGAATAAGGCAAGTAACTATAGGAGGTTATAACGTGTATCTAGATACGTTCCTAAGACCCTGGGCTTCAAACAATCTCATTTGAATGATTTCTGGCTCTATCATATGCACTTGCTAACTGCCTGCCAAAGCCCAAGCATCCAAGACAGACCCTATTTAACTATAAGGGGCCCTCACCTTTGAAAAAGATGCACATCCCTAACTTTGAGAAAAAGTGAGTGTAATCTACTGTAAAAGAGCAGTTAATTCATACTTGTAAGGTCTACTGAGAATCTGAGACATTTTGGCAAGGAAGACTATGGACCACCTCCTACTTAAATCATAGTTGTGTAAATCAAGACTGTCAGTGCACAGCTTAAAACAGTGCATCACTAATGTAGTTCAATAGCATACAAGAGGAAATATGCAAAATATTTTCAGACACAACTTAAGATACACTTTCCATTCTAGGCGTGCAAATCCCCACTTTGTAAATCATGAACAACTAACATAAAACCACTTGTATGAACATTGAGGAGTTTTGATATTATAGCTGCTTCCTATTCTTTTTCTTTGATTTTCATCTAAATAGCATAAAACAACTGCTAGGTAAAGAGTCCAATCATAACAGGAATAAATACCTCTTTCTGTACATCCTTTGCTTGATTCTCAGCCTCAGTGAGTAGAGATTTTAGACTCACTGCATCCCGTTGATGCTGTTCCCTCAAAGTTCCCATTTGATTTTCAAGTTCTTTGCGAGTCATTTCAAGAACACTTAGATCACTGGTTAGCGCTAAACTCTGTTTCTGAGAGCTGCAAAACAATACTCAATTTATGTCTCATCTTAAATTATTCAGATAACTTGTAAAGTCATTTTTCATCCTCAAAATCTTTATGTGCTATACAAATATCAAAACAGTACTGTCAAAACTTGGAATGGTCAGCAATATTGTTACCCTGTATATAAAATGAACTGGGAAAATTTAAGACAAATATTTAAATTTTTCATATAACTGCATAATTTTTCATATGCAAAATAGTCTTTACTCAAAGTATTTGCAAGGAACTCACAAAAAGAGCAATGGAACTCAAGGAGCTAATTACTAATAAAAGTTTTATAAATATACTATATTTACTACCTATACTATATACTCTTTATATTTTCTACCTATACTACATTTTATAAATAGTATAATAGTTATAAGTTTATTTTACTATAATTTATAATAGTATAGTTGATACAATAAATAAATTTAATGTAGTTAATTATAACTGATTAATTATGAATGGGTATGCTCTTAAGTAGAAAATGCATCTGTCTTCTTAAAGCTCTGAGAGAAAATGCATCTGTAATCTCCTCACAAGGAGGTTCATTTTATTAACATAAATCTAAGTTGAATAAATATTGAACTAATGATGTATGTCGATGTTTCCAGTCAAGCCCCATACCTGAACAAGCATTTTTTTCTGTGAAAAAACAGGTGCAAAAGTGATCATGTATTTCTGTGCACAGACTATTACCTCTGTGTCAAGAAAATCTGGCTCTGAATTTCTAATTTTTACTCAATCCTAGGTAAGTAGAATCTGACAGGGAATGGATTGACTGGTGGGAATATATCAACACACTGGATAGTGTTAAAATGGGCCCTTGAAATGGAGTGAAAGAGGACTTGCTGGATTGGATGCAGTAGAAAGAGATGGGGAGGAGGTATGGAATTAACAGAAGATGGGAAAAGATGTAGAAAGGCTTTCCTTCTGTTTCCTTAGCCAATTGATTCATCCCTGGTCTGGAATGCTTTTCAGTACAGGGAATCTTTCATTAGTTGAAGCAATGCAGCTAGAAATTAGGGCACCCTAAGCACAGGGATGGGGGGAATGGGGAGATCAAAGCAAAAAAAATACAGGACACAGTATTGTCCCAAGATTACACTGGGAATTGAATCAAACTACAAGATGCCAAAACTGAAAGACAAAGAATAGCAGCAGGCAACGGGATAACACAGACAAGTTGCTATTTATGTTACATGTTTCACGCATTCTTTAGCAGTGAGGTAATAGGTTTGAAGAGTGCACAAAATGTAACACATTATGAATAATTCTGCACTTTATAAAAAACTGGATGCAAAGTATACAATTCATAAGAATGTGTGGTTTATTTTTATCCACTGTTTTCATAACACAGTAATGAAATACATTACATAAGATTACTTTAGTTCTCTATGGCTATCAATATTGTGACCATATAGAGAATAACAACTCATCTCAACATTATTTGCAAGCTCCAAACATTAGAACTTTGCTAATCCAAGTTTATCTATATTGGGTATTGTCATTTTGGGTAACAAAAGAAGATGCTTTTTACTACTTTTAACCAATGTCACTATGCATATTCCCTAAACCCTAATTAAACAGCTAAATTATTAAAAATAGAACCTGCTTTGGATAAGTTCTTATATTTGTATGTAACAAATACTAGAAAACAAGTTTAAAATTAGTAAATGCAACTAAGGATTTATACAAATGTTCATTTCTAGTGGCAGAAAATTTCCACTGCTAGCAATGTTTCTGCAAGAGGGAGCAATACAGACATTCAGCCTGCAATGGCCCCCTCACTGTTCCTTTAGCCTTTCCCAGCCTAGGGTGATCCAAGCCTGAGGAAATTGTGGGCCTCCCACAATTGGAATGTCCTCCCATTCCCAGACAAGGCATTCCCCTTGTCCACTTCTCAAACTGGGAACTCTAGCATGAGAAGCGGACAGGGGATAATAATGGCGCTCCCTCTGCTCAGCTTTTAGTACACATAAAGAGAGCAAATGCAGAAGTGGGGCAAAGTCCCCACATGCTCCATACCACTTGGGACTCCAATGTGAGGAGCAGGTGAGGGTCTTTGTCCCATTATGCCAGAGATAGCTTCCTTGACCCTGGCTTCCCCTTGCCCTCCCTCTCCCAGCTGCTAAGCAGTGGGGGGGGGGGATGAAGTAGGGAGAGGCCAGGGAAGCAGGCAGGGTTCAGTGCCACTGCTGGACACTTAGCTGCTTGCGCTCAGGAGCCGAGCAGAGGGATCAGTGCAACAAAGGCCCTGCCCACTTCTCACACTGGTGTGAGAAGCAGGCAGGGAGATGCTCCTTCCTTCCCGGTCTACAGGATGGGCAAGAGCAGCTGCCCCTTGACCTTTTCCAAACAGATGATCCTTGCCTTAGGAAGATACAGGAGCCTTTCCCCTCATTCCACTCCTCCTGGACCTCAGGAGGACTTAAACCATGAGAAAAGTCTCCTGGGAGAAACTCTGCCAGGAACCATTTAACCCTGGTTGTTTCTGGGTTATTTTTCTTCCGGAGCGACCATTTTTGCTCAGAGAGAAAAAGCTTGAACATCTGCGCACTTGTGGTTTCTACCAGGAAAATGGTGATTCTCCCCATAGAAACTGAACATCTGTACCCAAACAGAATCTCTGGCCTAAGTATAACTTCTGCTTGACCAAGGTCATCCCTAAGCTGAACCATGCATTTTAGCATTCCTGTACACAAGTTGTTTTTGAAAATAAAAACAAAACTATTGGCATTAAAATAATGCTAAAGTTTCAAAGTCCTTTTCACTTGCTATAACAACTTTAAGCTAAACCCTTTCAACTTGTACCTGTGTAGCTCCTTCTCTTGTCGTTGAAGCTCAGATGCAAGCAAAGTATTCTCTTTCTTTAGAGTAAGGCATTCAGATTCTAGAGCATTCCACTCCTTTCTCAACTTTTCAAGTTCACCTACAAAAAAAGGGGAAAGGTTAAGTCACCAAGTAAAACAAACAAACAACAACTTTCAGAAACCCTAACAAGTAAACGGAAGAACTGTTTGCAAATATCTGTAAACTGTGACTTGTCAGGCTGATTATTATTACCATAATTATCACATATACACATACCTTCTCCAAAAATCAGCCCCCACCAAAACTGGGGAGCACATCTTAAATAGGAAAGCTGATTTTCTGCCCAGGACAGAAACACTCTACTTTGATTCCTACTCCACAGTGTAACAGTTGTGGCATTACTATTCCAGGCAGCCAAGGAAGTCAGCTAACATAATGGCTCACTGTTCTTCACTCCACAGGTGTTAAAAAGATTGTCTCGTCTTTTTAATGGTCTTGATGTTCCACTAATCAAACTACCTTTCTAGGTCCATTTTTTGTTTGTTAGATGTCCCTGGCCTCTCTCCTCCTACTTCACAGCCTTACAGACCATAGCTCTTTTTAGAATCATAGATTTACCCATGAAGACCAGTCTTCAGGAGCAGTTAGGGTTTCACCTTTATTTCAACAGGAAAGGGAGGGTGCATCTTATGAAAACTAAGCTGTGTCTGACCTATGCAGCCAAAAATGCAGAAAAATCTTTCTTTGTTCTGCCTTTCAAAACTGCAGGTGTGCTGTATATTATACTGCAAACTTTGCTAGATGTGAGAAAATGCAGTATGTCATGTTAATTTCTGGCATAAAACTAGTAGGTAGCATGTCTCAAACTATGTCCCAATACTATGAATCCCTTGAGATGTCTGTTTAAATAAGTTAGTGCAATTTTTTTTGGAAGAAGAAAAGAACTTGGTGTTAGCTATGGGAGATGACCTGATAGGAGAGCTGCAGATTTGTGGTCACCTTGGGGACAGTGACCAACAATCAGCTGAATTCACCATACAGCATAAGGTGGGAAAGATAACTAGTAGGGTGGAAGTGCTCGACTTTAGGAAGGCTAACTTCAGTTTGCTCAGGAGTTTAGTCAATTTCTTGGATTTTAGGAAGGCCTTTGATACAGTATCTCATCATCCCATTCTCATAAAGAAATGAAGAGGCTGTGACTTAGATGATTACACAGTTTCGTGGGTGGCAAATTGGCATGAGGGTCACACCTAGAGAGTGGTAGTAGATGGGTCAGTATCGACCAGGAAGGATGTGGGCAGTGGGGTCCCACAGGTCCTTGGACCTGTACTCTTCTATGTCTTCATTAGCAACTTGGATGTGGGCATGAAGTGTACTCTGTCCAAATTTGTGGATGATACTAAATTGTGATGTGACGTGAACACACCAGAGGGTAGGGAACAATTGCACACGGACCTGACAGGTTGAAAATTTGGGCAGTACACAGTAGGATGCAGTTCAACAAGGACAAGTGCAGAGTGCTGCACCTAGGGTGTAAAAATATCCAGCACACCTACCGGCCGGGGAATGACCCCCTCAGCAGCACAGAAGCGGAAAGGGATCTTGAAGTCATAGTGGATTCCTAGATGAACATGAGTCTTCAGTGTGACGAAATCATCAGCAAAGCTAACTGCACTTTATCATGCATCAGCAGATGCATGACAAATAGAACCAAGGAAGTGATACTTCCCCTCTGTGTGGCATTGGTCAGATGCAGTTGGAGGAAGGCGTCCAGTTTTGGGTTCTGTACTTTAAGAATGATGTGGATAACCTCAAGAGGGTCCAGAGGAAGGTCCCTCATATGGTTAAGGGTTTGCACGCCAAACCCTATGAGGAGAGACCAAAGGACCTGGATCTCTTCTTTGTCTGCAAGAGAAGGCTGAGAGGTGATCTTGTGGCCACCTACAAAATCATTGGGGGGGGGTGCACCAAGGAACCAGAGATGCTCTGTTCACCAGGGTGCCTCTTGGGGTAACAGGGAACAATGGTCACAAATTAACAGACAGCAGATTTAGGCTGGACATCAGGAAGAACTTCACAGTAAGGGTGGCCAGAATTTGGAATGGGCTTCCAAAGGAGGTGGCACTCTCCTCTACCTTGGGGGTCTTTAAGGGAAGGCTGGATAGTCATCTGGATGGGGTCATCTATCCCCAGGACACTTTCCTTCCCAGGGCAGGGGGTCGGACTCCATGATCTGTTGAGGTCCCTTCTGACCCTAGCATCTCTGAATCTATGAACTTTATATAAAAATCAGTCTTTAAGTCTATCACTAGCATTTTTAAATTAAAAAACTGTGGCAAAAGTTAGTCTCCTTTTGTAGCCACACAATTACTACCACTGGTACAATTCAGGAAATAAGGTGCTATTGGCAGTCACTATACACCACACACATCCCAGAGCTAAGTGCCAATACATTCAAAGCAAGCATTAAAAGCATAAATTCAGCCTTTTGATTATCAGTGACAAATATATTTAATATAAAACAAAGTTATACAAGTCCAGTAGATGGAACAAAAACAGATTAGAATTGGACTACACAAAACTTCCTCAGAGGATTTTAAAAAGAATAACCAATGAAGAATTTTAAGTGCATTTTATATGTACTACCTTCCATCCACACACCACTGAAAGAGTTTCAGGATTAACAGAGTTAGCAGTATGCTCTGTCATTATATATTGTTATCTGCATCCTGCAGCTCCTCAAAAATTTTTCCAAAAGGTATCAATATGGCCAACTTCCTAGCACTTGTGCCTCTAACTAAGAATCACAAGGAACACCACTACTTGGGTACAGATTGAAAGGTGCTAGTGTGGTGCAATACCATGTGGGCAAAACAATCACATTTTTTGCACTGTAACTTCTCTAGAATGTGATTCCCCTGTTGCAGAGTCAACTCAAAGGACTCTAAGAGTCTTTGGCTCTCTCAATTCCTTGATCAAAGAAGTTCTTCTTGCATTAAGAAAGTAGTAGTAGCTGTCCTAAGTATCACTCTGGTTACGGTAGAAAAGCTTTAAGGGAGAACAAAAAAAAGGTCTAGCAGAAAGGTCTAAATGTACCAGATTCTGGATTTGTTTCATCTCTCCTGGGCATCTGCTACCTATCTAGATTCCCTTCACTAGGAAATACAACAGGACTTTGTGACCTGCATTACTTTAGACAAGTGCAACCATGTGGCAATTGATACATGCCTTCAAAAAACTGGATTAAATTCTTAAATTGACAGAAGAACTAGTCTGAAACTTAGTGGACCCTCCAGGACTAATATAAATGTCTCGATGATGACATTACAATGAGCCTTAGCTAAGCGCTCTGCAATCCTATAATAGCCTTGCAAGTCTGCCAGGCTTTTCATCTACCATATTTTCTTCTCTTTAGCTATTAAAAACACAGGGCATGTCTACACATGCATTAGTGCGCCTTTTCTAATGCGCATTAAATTTAGTACCTCTGAGCACCTATACACAAGTGCAGAGGCTGCTCCAACACACTGAAATTCCGGCATGTAGGAGCAGACTTGATTATTAAAGTCTGCTGGAGTGTGGCAATTGCCATGCTCCAGCAGCCTCCTGTGTCTCATGTATGAGCATTCCATACTTAAAAATGGCAGTGGGCTGCTTGACCTAAAGCTTGAACTAACTTTAGTTCATGTCCCCCCACCACCATTAAGCATGGGGACACTGATACAGGAGATGCAGCAGTGCTTTAATTAGAGCAGGTCTCAGAGTTTTCCTAATTAAACTATTGCCTCTCCCAACCCTGGAGCACATGTAAATGTGCTTTCCAATACGAGGTACTAAATTAATGCACATTAGGCTGGTCTAAAACACACTGGCGCATCTGCAGTGTTTAAGTGACACTTAATGTGCAGTAGACTATTTCATTGTGCATTCGCATAATGTCACATTTTCTTACGTGATACTTTAATGTGCAGTAAATTAGTCTACTGCACATTAAAGAACACATGTAGATGTGCCCACATTTAACTATAACCAATATATCCAAGTAATTAAGGCAGAATTTAAAACTGCTCTCAGAAGGAAGGAGTTTACAAAACAGATGTACAAAATTATTTTGCAGTATATTCACTTAAACTTTCCAGTTAAATTTCTACCTTGTTTTTTCATGCAATAGACTCTGATAGGAAATAAAGTGCAGGTGAATAAAGACCTGAGTAATTTAATTCTAGAATCCAGGTCTTCAGACAATTTAAGGCAACTATTGCTATTAGCACTGGTTTGAGATACTGCCTTCTTACCCTGTAAACGATTAACTTCCTCTTTCTGCTGAACCTCACACTGTTGACATCGGAGTTGAAAGCTGGCTTGCAAATTGACAATTTCTTTTTCATATTCAGAGGCTTCTCTCCGCCATCGCTCAAGCTCACCCCGCACCTTCTGCAGCTCTTCTTGCAAAGTAGCAATATCAATGTCTCTTTCTGATGCAGCCTTTTCTGCCACTTGTTGGAGAAGCAAAATTTCATCCTGAGCACTGAGCAATTCATTCCGAGTGCTTGAAATTTCATTCTCTTTTTCTTCACGAAGATTGTCAATATCCTGTTGTAACCTTTGTAGCTGAGCTGGAAGAGATGTACAAAATACAAACTTTCCTAGGCCATATTACAAAAGCTTGCAGGAAAGCTCTTCTTTTGATCAGCTGAAGCTCCACGGAACTGAAAACTAAAAACCCTCTCGAACAGAAATTCAGATTTATCTTCATCCATACAGAAGCTTCCTTCTAGCCTTTTAGAATCTAAAACATAATACAAACCTAGTAGACAACTGATCTGATCTCAAAAGAACAAAGAACACAGCACTTGTGCTGTGTGATAGACTTAAATTTACAGGACTGTACTGAGAATACTTATTATAATGCTTCCCTGTTCATCATTTAGCTTTAGCTTGTCCTGTCACTTAAGTTCATAAATAATTAAGATATGTAGTATTCAACTTTCACTGTATTCCTATAAAACAAAATATAGATTAATTTCCTCTTAATGACAAAGCACTTTCAGAAACATCTGGATTCAGGATCCCAAAGGGAGCTGAACAAATGGTCTGAAAACCATTCCTCTGTAAATTTAGCCTGCTTCTGTTTTCCAATTGTCTGTGAACAAAATTTTTTTTATATTCAGTATTTAATATTCTCCAATTAGTGTTTGCACTTAAGTTTCCACTTAATTGCACACAGTCCATTAGCCTTCACAAATTCCTTTGACATTCCTAATTACAAAGCTGAGGTTATATAATTGAGAAATCATTTTTCAGGTAGTGCAAATAAACTACTGAATTTGCTGGTATTTCATTACCAAATAAATTTTTGTTATGGGTCCAAGATGTCTTTTCCAGCAAATATATGATCAGACTTTCCAACAAAAAGTATAAGGGGGGCACATGAAAACAGTCAATACAAAATTATATTTAGACTACTCGGGTTTTCTTTGCTTACAAAAAAACCCATACTTCATTTAGAATTTATCCCTGTTTTATAATATTCTCCACTTTCCAAAGCTACATACACAGAAGCAATAAGTGAATTTTCCTTGACTGCAAAGCACTAACAGGTTTCTCCAAAGCCCTAGATTTAGCAAAGCATTGAAACACACTCATAACTTTAATCAGGGGCTTAAACCCAATCAAATCCATGGGCTTGAACAACTTGATGAACAACAACAGTATTGAAACTGAAGTTATGAATGGTTTTATTATTTTGTTTTTCACCTGAATTAAAGTGAAAATGAGGACAATGGAAAGAAATGTAATAACAGAGAAAAAACAAAACAGAACCTAATTTTGTGGCCAGAATCTATTCTATTAGGTGCATAAGTAAACTTAGGTGCCTAAGTGTAATTTCCTGCCTGAGTCCCTGAAAATCCACTGCTTTTTAAAAACACCAAAACACATGGAGATTGAGTCACAAAAAAACAGTAAGCAGGAAAAAGACCCATCTACTTCTTGCTTTAAACCATTTCTCAGGGACTCAATGTGGACTAGAACTGCCTTTAGGTGACTATATCCTTAAACCCATAATAGGTGGAACAGAATCTGGCTGTTCATGTACACAAACCAATGTGGAGGACAACTGAAAAGAGACTCATGTTGTTCTGACCAACACACATGATAGTTGCTTTTTCACAGATTGTTCTCCCCTTGTACTCAGCCTTGGTGAGGCTGCAGCTGGAGTACCGCATCCAGTTTTGGG